ACAATGTCTTCGAATAGAATTCAACAGGTTTCCACACATCCTCATGCTTTACGTGTAATGCAGCTCCAATCGCTTTCTCAGAGGCGTCAGTTTCCACCATGAACTCATCTGAATCAAGTGGAATTTCAAGAACCGAATTTGCCAATCTCGAAATCGCTTCTTCAACTGCTCGTTCGTGTTCGCGTGTCCATTCGACTTCAGTTAGCTTATTGCTTCTTTTCGTGTTCTTCTGACTGCGTAATAATTCAAATACCGGGGTCATGATATCTGCATAACGGGGGATAAAGGCATGATAGAACCCAAGGAAACCTAAAAGACTTCTGACATCATTGAGATTCGTTGGCGACTGGATACGGCTGAGGGCTTCAACTTTCTTTGGATCAGGAACAAGCTGTCCCTCTACAATCAGTTGACCAAGATACTTCAGCTTTCTAGGAAAAAACACACTTTTCGGAAGATTCAAAGTCAACCCCGTGGCACGTAGACGCTCAAAACTGTTCGTAGAAGTTGCATCGTCTGTTGAAAGGAATGGGAATGAACCAGAATATCATCAATATATGCGAGGACCCCAGAAAACCGTAAGTCGCCAAACAAAAAGTCAACCATCCGCTGAAAGGTTGCAGGGGCGTTAGTCAACCCAAAGGGCATACAAATGAACTCATACAAGCCTTTGAAGCACCGAAATGCCGTGTATTTAATCGATCTTTCCTCCATTGGTATTTGCCAATACCCTGCTCGTAAGTCAAGTGCAACAAAGTATTTGGACCCTTTGATGGCGTGGATCAGGTCTTGGATGCGCGGGAGTGGATAACGATCTTTGATTGTCACTTTGTTGAGCGCCCGGAAGTCAATGCAAAAGCGCCAGTCTCCTGTCTTCTTTGGTACTAACACAACTTCGGAAGCATATGGTGAACAACTTGGGCGGATAACTTTCTGATCTAACATTTTCTGTACTTCTGCATCAACAACTTTCTTCTGTTCCTCAGTAATTGGACGCGGGCGGACGACAACAGGTCGATCGGTTGTTAGACGAATCCTATGTTCGAGTTCAGCGGCCTTTCCACGCTGCTCACCCCTCCAAAGGCCGTCGTACTCGCTCAGCAGATCGCGGACTTCTTGACGTTGAGCTTCATTTAATGGCGAATCTGAAAAATCGAGGGTCACGGAGGGCGAAGTAGCGAAAGCAGAGTTGGAAGCTGGAGGATCGACAGACGGTGGAGTGCGAAGGACAATGGGCCCGTAGATTGTATTCAAAACACGATTAGGAATGTCATGGACAGCACCAAGTTGACTCAAAAATGGAAGACCAAATAACGCAATACATGGAAGATCAGTTACTACCGCACATTTTACCGACACAGTTACAGAATTAGACAACGTCACAGGTAAGTCGATCCATTTAGCCACGTCGTTAGCTTTGCCACCAACCCCATGCAACGCCCGAATGGGTGAACAGCAGGATTCATATGTAAGGAAGGGAAGAAGGACATAAGAGATAATATTTAATTGTGATCCAGAATAAACGAGAGCAAGAAACGAGGATGAACGATTGAGAAATTCAATGAATTGGAGCTTATGGACAAAATCATCACACGAAGAATTGCTGAAAAACGAGGAAGGAATGGACGTAGACAACGAAAAACACGTAGAAGAAGGGTAGTCAGAGCTTTGCGAATTATAACGGAATGTATGTATCAGGTTAACAGTCGAAAGAATGGGCACGAAATATTCGCCGTTGGGTAGAGGAATGCGCCAAGTTAGTCATTGGAATATCGGAAGTTGCGGGCGTTGTGGGTTCTGCAGGCGTAGGGGACTGTAACAGACGATGTCGAGCTTCTATTTCCTCTTTGGCGCGTCGTAGATGTTCGTAATCGGCTAATACTTTGGCTTCATCTGTAATTGCAGCTGTTCGTAATCGTAGACCACCTTGTGATTGTGTAACGACTAAGCCTTTCGTAGTAGCTGGCGTGGATCCGTCTGTTTGCCAACGAGTTGCGATGCATTGGTGCTTTCCTTTTAATTCCGTATACAATTGATGACACACCTCACATTCAAAAACTTCAATACCCCTGGAACGCATGGATTGTGCCCAAACTTCACTTTTTCTGTTGCTGACGAGTCGTTGGACGTCACGACGGGGAAGTAGCTTCTGTTCTTCGGAGAGTTCACCCAATGGCTCAAAATCGGAAGTTCGCAGCATCTCACGGGGTTTCCATGCGTCGTTGACGTTCAACTTTCCATTTTCGATGTAATTGATCCATCGACATTTCCTTTTCTCATCTGTCAGGAATTCAGGGGCACGTTCGGCTTGCTTGCGTTCTGCTTCCCGTTTGCGGAGTTTGTCAAGTAGTTCAGCTTCGGACAATTTGGCGAAGTCTTCTTTTAATTCGTCGGGAATGGGGTCACGAGACGCAAGGTTGATGGTTACTTTTCGAGCTTTTGAAGTAGGGGTTCGTCGCACTGTTGTGAATTTCGCGTTCGCGCTCTGTTCAATAGTAAGGTCGTCATAGTTGCAGTCTTCTGGGCCATCTTCAGCAAGGGGGAGCGAACTGGTTGGCGCATGTGATGTTGGGATGAACTTCTGATCGACGGGGTGTCAGCACGGTGTCAGGGCATGTTGGCGTCGTGGAAACTGGAGTTGGCGGGGTGGGAGAAGGCATAGAAGGAGTAACAACGGTGTCTTCAACAGTGGTGAGATGGTCAAGTTTGTCGGCGAGGTTTTCCATAGCCATTGCAATATAGGTGGCTGTAGGAGCTTCAGCAACGGTATTGGCGATAGAAAGAACCAGAGTTTCTAGGGGGACAAGTAGTGCACGGATTTCATGAATAACTTTTTGTAGATCCTCAGCTGGATTGGCGGGAGACGGTGCTGGACTTGTTGCAGAAGTTGCAAAGTTGGCGAATGGTTCAATTGCAGCACGAATTAATTTGGTAGCATCTTCAATTGAAACAACGTTGATAGCAGAGGAGGACACCGTACGATCCCCACAGCTTTGGTTCCGCTTCACCGGACCACTAATAAGATTCGCGGCCCAAAGCGTGGGAATGGTGATCATTGTTGCGAATGGAAGAAGGGTGCAAGTCCAGCAAAATCCGGAGTTCAACACGTAAGTACCAGCAGCAGAGAGCGTGGATACCGTTACCCACATGGATGAAGAGTTGGCAAGCGTAGGAAACCATGGGGAAAAGCCAGGGAAAAACACACTGAACTATGGAAACGTAGATAAAAAAACCGGTCAAAATAATTAAGCCCACGAATGCAGGATACTTCAGGCATCTGAGAATGAAATGATGCGTGAAGTAAAATAATATAACCACCAAGAAGGAGGATAAACAACATACCCAGAAAGTTAGGGTCATGGATGTCTAGCGTGAGCAGCGTAGACAAAAAGCATGTAAAAACGGAGAAGAAGGAGGTCGTCATTCTAACAAATGGAAAAAAAAAAACCGTAGATCCCGAGGTGGAGGAAGTATCAAAAGCTACGAATTAGCGAGCTCAGACAACAATTGCACTGCCAAGTGTGGTGGTGCTCCTAGGGCGGGAGACAAGAGGATAGCATGCTTCTTAAGTCTGTGTCTCGTAGAACAAAGTCTCAAAAACCCATCAATAATACAATCAATGTATTTACCATCAACCAGAGGTGCCTTCGATCTGACGGTAACCATAATGGCTATTGTGGGAGTTCTCGCTCTGATCTCCTGGTCTGGCGCTGGCGGACGGTCATTGTTACCAATTTTTGGAAATCTCACGAAGAGGACCAAAAATCAAATCACAGTGGCATAGATTAAACTTAATTCGTTTGTAGGGCGTTTAGCTCAAATGGTAGAGCGCTTGCTTAGCATGCAAGAGGTAGTGGGATCGATGCCCTCATCGTCCATTTTCACTTCTTAAAACAACATTGTTACAAGATCTCAAAGCAGCACTTTCATTGACACAGGGGCACAGATTAAAATTAATTCGTTTGTAGGGCGTTTAGCTCAAATGGTAGAGCGCTTGCTTTGCATGCAAGAGGTAGTGGGATCGATGCCCACAACGTCTATTTTAGTGGGATCGATGCCCACAACGTCCATTTTACTCCTTAAAACAACATTGTTTCAAGATCTCAAAGCAGCCACTTTCATTGACACAGTGGCACAGATTAAAATTAATTCGTTTGTAGGGCGTTTAGCTTTAAATGGTAGAGCGCTTGCTTTGCATGCAAGAAGTAGTGGGATCGATGCTTACAACGTCTATTTTAGTGGGATCGATGCCCACAACGTCCATTTTTTTACTCCTTAAAACAACATTATTACAAGATCTCAAAGCAGCACTTTCATTGACACGGTGGCACAGATTAAACTTAATTCGTTTGTAGGGCGTTTAGCTCAAATGGTAGAGCGCTTGCTTAGCATGCAAGAGGTAGTGGGATCGATGCCCTCATCGTCCATTTTCACTTCTTAAAACAACATTGTTACAAGATCTCAAAGCAGCACTTTCATTGACACAGTGGCATAGATTAAACTTAATTCGTTTGTAGGGCGTTTAGCTCAAATGGTAGAGCGCTTGCTTAGCATGCAAGAGGTAGTGGGATCGATGCCCTCATCGTCCATTTTCACTTCTTAAAACAACATTGTTACAAGATCTCAAAGCAGCACTTTCATTGACACAGTCATAGATTAAACTTAATTCGTTTGTAGGGCGTTTAGCTCAAATGGTAGAGCGCTTGCTTAGCATGCAAGAGGTAGTGGGATCGATGCCTTCATCGTCCATTTTGACTTCTTAAAACAACATTGTTACAAGATCTCAAAGCAGCACTTTCATTGACACAGTGGCATAGATTAAACTTAATTCGTTTGTAGGGCGTTTAGCTCAAATGGTAGAGCGCTTGCTTAGCATGCAAGAGGTAGTGGGATCGATGCCCTCATCGTCCATTTTCACTTCTTAAAACAACATTGTTACAAGATCTCAAAGCAGCACTTTCATTGACACAGGGGCACAGATTAAAATTAATTCGTTTGTAGGGCGTTTTAGCTCAAATGGTAGAGCGCTTGCTTTGCATGCAAGAGGTAGTGGGATCGATGCCCACAACGTCCATTTTAGTGGGATCGATGCCCACAACGACCATTTTACTCCTTAAAACAACATTGTTACAAGATCTCAAAGCAGCACTTTCATTGACACAGTGGCACAGATTAAACTTAATTCGTTTGTAGGGCGTTTAGCTCAAATGGTAGAGTGCTTCTTAGCATACAAGAGGTAGTGGGATCGATGGCCTCATCGTCCATTTTACTTCTTAAAATAATCAAAGCAGCACTTTCAGACACAGTGGCACAGATTAAAATTAATTCGTTTGTAGGCGTTTAGCTCAAATGGTAGAGCGCTTGCTCTGCATGCAAGTAATGTTGTTTCAAGATCAAAGCAGCACTTTCAGACACAGTGGTACAGATTAAAATTAATTCGTTTGTAGGGCGTTTAGCTCAAATGGTAGAGTGCTTGCTTTGCATGCAAGAGATAGTGGGATCGATGCCCACAACGTCCATTTTAGTGGGATCGATGCCCACAACGACCATTTTACTCCTTAAAACAACATTGTTACAAGATCTCAAAGCAGCACTTTCATTGACACAGTGGCACAGATTAAACTTAATTCGTTTGTAGGGCGTTTAGCTCAAATGGTAGAGTGCTTCTTAGCATACAAGAGGTAGTGGGATCGATGGCCTCATCGTCCATTTTACTTCTTAAAATAATCAAAGCAGCACTTTCAGACACAGTGGCACAGATTAAAATTAATTCGTTTGTAGGCGTTTAGCTCAAATGGTAGAGCGCTTGCTCTGCATGCAAGTAATGTTGTTTCAAGATCAAAGCAGCACTTTCAGACACAGTGGCACAGATTAAAATTAATTCGTTTGTAGGGCGTTTAGCTCAAATGGTAGAGCGCTTGCTTTGCATGCAAGAGGTAGTGGGATCGATGCCCACAACGTCCATTTTAGTGGGATCGATGCCCACAACGACCATTTTACTCCTTAAAACAACATTGTTACAAGATCTCAAAGCAGCACTTTCATTGACACAGTGGCACAGATTAAACTTAATTCGTTTGTAGGGCGTTTAGCTCAAATGGTAGAGTGCTTGCTTTGCATGCAAGAGGTAGTGGGATCGATGCCCACAACGTCCATTTTAGTGGGATCGATGCCCACAACGACCATTTTACTCCTTAAAACAACATTGTTACAAGATCTCAAAGCAGCACTTTCATTGACACAGTGGCACAGATTAAACTTAATTCGTTTGTAGGGCGTTTAGCTCAAATGGTAGAGTGCTTCTTAGCATACAAGAGGTAGTGGGATCGATGGCCTCATCGTCCATTTTACTTCTTAAAATAATCAAAGCAGCACTTTCAGACACAGTGGCACAGATTAAAATTAATTCGTTTGTAGGCGTTTAGCTCAAATGGTAGAGCGCTTGCTCTGCATGCAAGTAATGTTGTTTCAAGATCAAAGCAGCACTTTCAGACACAGTGGCACAGATTAAAATTAATTCGTTTGTAGGGCGTTTAGCTCAAATGGTAGAGCGCTTGCTTTGCATGCAAGAGGTAGTGGGATCGATGCCCACAACGTCCATTTTAGTGGGATCGATGCCCACAACGACCATTTTACTCCTTAAAACAACATTGTTACAAGATCTCAAAGCAGCACTTTCATTGACACAGTGGCACAGATTAAACTTAATTCGTTTGTAGG